AAGAGTAGATTAATAAAATAATTATCCTCTCAAGGTCCCTTTTATCTTAGGTAACTTCTCATGGTACTCTTTTTCTTTTTTCTTGTCTGTTAGTGTGAACTGCAGAAACTCTTGCTCTGCTCAGTCAGCATTCAAGGGAAAACATTCATCTGCCCTTAGGACCTGAATACTGTTGTCAATAAGGCCACTGGTATTTTATTGAGTACTCCTTTGATAGAATATTACAAATAAGTAAATGAAAGAATAATTTATTCCAGATAAATGGGGTTTTTTTCTGTGTAACTAGAGTTCTGATAAATAACAGCATATGGGCATAACTATCATATGATCTTCTGTTGAAAATAAAGTAAGTCATAGTAAGCAGTGCTATGTCCTGTTTACTGTGCCTGTGCCTGATGGTTCCTCTATGTAAGAAATCTTCCCAGCCATCCAGCCCTTCCTAATAGAGATACAGAATTGGTGCTTCTTAGGAGAATTCTTTATTGCTTGTTATTTGGTTTGGGATTTTTTTTGTAATTTATCTGGCAAAAGAGAGATCTAGGTTTGAAATATGAGAACTGAACAGTGCCATTTAGTATGGTTGAAATTTTTGATGGAACAACTGGAATATTATCTCCTCTATGAATCTGGAACTGTTTTATCAGTGTTTATAAAATTGTGTGGTAAAATAGCTCCCAACTTTTGAACATCAGAGGGAAGTGAGAGAAGACAGAGCAACCTTTGATGGGAAGTGGGAATGGGAGAGAAACAGGAGCTGAATCCCTGTACAGAGTATTGTGTCCCTGTGTGATTTAGGGCCAGCATTTTAAGGAGTCAATCCTTTCCCATGTCTTGGATACACAGGAGGCATCCTTGTGATTCCTTGTGATTGTATCATCCCAGAGGAGATACATTCTTTGATCCTGTAATGGAGGCTTTTCCCCTCGGAGTCATGGAAGATCCAAGCTGCAAAACAAATATTTGTCCTAATTTTTATCTTTCACAACTTGGGAGGAGACAATATCTGGTATTTTCAGAAAATTGGAGAAAAAATACATTTCTTTCACTGAACTGTCTTTAGCAATAGACCTCTCTATCATTGCCTCATGCTAGAGATTTCCTCTAGCCTGTGTTTTATGCAGAAGTTAAAATATAATTGTTTGCCTGAATTGATTTTGTTGGTCTTTTCTGACCCAATATGTCATTAAATACCAATGCTTGAGGGTTAAAAAAATGTGAAGGTCTTCACATCATCTAACCCTGCTGTTTCAGGAGTCTATTTGGAATTTCACCTAATTTTGGTTTTGCCTGGATTTCAAGACTATAGGAGTGCTTGCAGTGGGGCTCATTCTCTCCTCATCCAGAGACAGAGAACTGTTTATTGTTTGGGTTTGGTAGTAATGAATGTTAAGAAGATTTTATACAAATATTAGTAAATACAGAATATCAGAATTACTTAACACCCAAGAGTTTACAGCTAGAGAAAATGAAGAAACACTCCATTGTTTGAAGTGTTTATTGTTTGAAATAATGATAAATACCATATGCTATCTAGATCTGATTTGCATTGATTTTATTTATAGCCTGCAGATTGTTGCACTGTCATCATTGTTCACAAAGGTAGTGAAGTTAAATTCAAAGCAGTTTCAACTCCTGGATGACGTTATTATCTGACTTCTGTAAATTGGTGTAACTCCACATAGTTTGATAGATGTACTTTAAGGTGGAACTCTTGGAATTTTGTCCCAATGTGTCTCCAACTCATCAGATTTAAATAGGATCTTTTTGTAGTATTTTAGTTAATTTAAAACCTTGTTTAGCCTTATACACCTAATTAAACTTTTTACCTTTGTTGTATAAAATAAACTACTTGGTTTAACTGCTTTTAAAATATTTAGTGTCATATTTAATTCAAAATACAAACAACTCCTCATAACATCTCATCTTTTAAATATCCTTTCAGTTCTGCTTGGGCTTATTCTTTGAGAGAGAATTGCTACTAAAGATGTCTAAAGAAGAGAGATCAAGAAAACTTTATTGACCTGTGCAGATCAACTTTAAAAGAATTTGCAACAGCCTCACTTCTTTGTGGTGTTAATTTCTATCCTCATAAACAAGGGTGACATCAATTTTAATTGTGGTAGTAGAAAGTTAATTTATGTGCTGGAATTGCGATCTTGAAATCCTGTACATAATAAAGTTGTCCAGTGTGCACAATATGCAGCAAATAGCAAACTTCAATTAATTCCTTGATAAAATTAGCATGCATTGCACTTCAAGGATTTGTCTTTGTTTTGTTTCTCTAATCAAAACTTCAGTTAATTTCAGCTTTGTTCTCTGCCTCCCCCACATTAGTTCCATTGTCTTGATTTGCATCATTTGTGGCAGCTGGCTTCTTATCAATCTGTAGTTTAGACTTTTACATCAAACAGTAAATTAATTAGAGGAAAATAAATCCCAGTTATACTTCTTGATAACTGTAGAAGCCTCTAAGCATGGAAGTGAATGTTGCTGATTCTTGTCAGAGATGAGAAGTGTAACATGGGAAAGGAGGCAGATCAAGCTTCACATTCAGTGAACCGATAGTTATCTCTAGCAGTAAGTGTTGGTCACCTGTACCTTTTCTTTCTTAGTCCCTCCTATCATTTGTTATGAAGCTAAACTAGAAAAAAAATAGCAATTTAAAAAAGTAGCATTTAGATGTGGGATTTTTTTATAGGATGCATGGCCTTAGTGCATCGCAAGAAGCAGATGCATCCGAAATGTTACTTTCTTTTCCCTATACCACAGTTTACAAACATAACCAAAACTGCTTGAATTCATTCTGTTACAATTTATGAACTATTTTCCTTCCTATAAAGAGGAAGCAAGTGACCCTTTTACAATCAAGCAACTAGTACAAAAGGCTCAGGAGCATATTCTCCAGAAGATGCTCATAGACACAAACTGTCAAGGTACATCCAGGCTTCAGACCTCAGCTTGTGTTTTTGGGAACAGAAAGCATCTTAGTATTTTGTCAAATTGCTGCACTGTACTAAGTTCTCTTTTATAATTTCTTAATAGCCATTAGTAATAGTTAGGAAATTAAGACTGCTTTTAGTATTTTGCTGCACTTACATTGTTCCTTTTAAAAGGAAGCCCATTAGTTACTGTGGTGGGGAAATAGGCAAAGCAAGTCGAGGAAATAGGCAAAGCAAATTGAGGTGAGGGAGTCGTTACACATTATAAACCTGAAGGAAGTCTGCTCTACTTACAGTGAAATAATCTATGGAAATGATGGGCTAGTTCAGTCTAATTTATTTGCTATCTTCTATTGCTTATTTCCCCCATTGTTGTTTCTTTCTTGAGCAAATAGGTATGATTTCGTTGCCTTTCAATTCAAGTTATGTGTCATCTCTGTCTTTCTGATGTTTTTTTGCTATCTGTAGCTGAGCTATGTCATGTAGTTCATCTTTTCAGTAGTGTGCAGACCACGAAAGAAGGTAATACCTTGCCGAGCTCTTCAGAGAATATTGAATTTGGTTAGATACTGTGTCTGTTTTGTAGCAATATCTTTCCTCATTTTCCAAACCGTATTGTTAGCACAGTTTAAGAGCTCAGTCCAGCATTATTCCAAGGTCATTTTGAAAGTCCTGCTGTGATTCTGATTCTTTTATATTTGTCTCCAGTTTTGAGCTGAATAAGAAATTTAGTGGTTTAGCTTTTGAATAGGAAATTTAATTTACAACTTGTCAGTTCGTTTACAAAGAGAATACCACTCTGAAGGACTCTCCTAAATATATATGAGGCTTTTCTCTTTTGTCCTCTGTTCATTTCTTTGTTCCCATGAAACACAGAATTACAGAAATCATTTCACAAATTGAAGTTCACGGTTGTCTCTGCTGCCTGTATCCTCCAGGCCCCTAGGCAATGCAGGCTAGATGGGACAGCAGATGGGTGGTGGATGCTCATGCAGGGTATCCAGCCAGGAATCTCTTGCCTTCCCTTGGCATCTCTGCCCTCAAAGCTCCAGTTCATTGACAAAACTTGAGTAACAGTTTGTGGAAATGTGAGGATCCTTTTACTGTTCTTTTTTTGTTTGTTTGTTTTAGTAGAAAAGCTCTTAAATTTCATTATATTACTTTCCATACGTATTTCCAGGCAAATGTTTTTGTCTCTGTTTTATAGTGAGTGGATGTTGTGTAATCTCTGAAATGTTTGTCATGAATCAACAGTCGTGGGCTTTGAAACGAGTGTTTAACTTGCAAGGTGCTTGATACCCTTTAATCCTGTTCCAAATGAATAGTCCAAAATGTCAGAGAGTCTGCAGGACTCTCAGGTTATATCATGAGTTAGAATGATTAAGTGCATTTGGAGTTGTCGCAGTCTGTAATAATGACAATATATAAACCAAGAAAACTTTGGATACATCAAAGTCACTCAAAATACTGAGTCACAAATGAGGTCTTGCTTTGAATCTTTAGCTTTGACAGCTGTGATTTGCTTTGGAGACTCTACATAAGAGAAGCTAAACTTTTTCTCGATTAAACCTGTTTCCTTCTTTTTAAATGTGATCCAAGTTTGAATGAACCTGTTCTTTGTCTTCAAGAGAACTCTAGTCAGTAGTATTTTGGGCTAGATAATCTGGGTGAGACTGGCAGACTTGTGAAGCTACTGCTATAGAAAACCAAATTGAGATATTATGGCACTTACACGCACAGAAAAAATTTTGGGAATTTTTTAAGCATGGCATGATAATACGGAGTGCATAATTTGTCACTTTATACTTCCCCTGGAGTCCATAGATATTTTGCTCTTGTAATTTTAATGGCCAAACAACCCTGCTAACACATATGGAAGTTCTGAGAGACGTATTAAAAAATGAGAGACATAATAATAAAATTACTGGTTTATGTATGCAAGCAGATTCTCTGGAATTTAAAACTTGTAGAAAGGAAATACACATTAATGTATTTTGCTTTTACAGGCTTAGTGTATTCTTAGCATGTTATTTCACAAATCCTTAATATTTTTAAATGCAGGTAATGAATTTGGACATCCAGAATGGCTTGACTTCCCCAGGATAGGGAATAATGAGAGCTACCACTATGCCAGGAGACAGTTTAATCTTACTGAGGATGATCTTCTTCGTTATAAATTCCTAAATGCCTTTGATAGAGATATGAATAGACTGGAGGAAAGATTTGGCTGGCTTGCATCTCCCCAGGTAAGCTGTATATGCAAAATGATAAGTTTTAGTCACCAGTCGGGTACACGTGTAAAGTAACAACATTTCCAAATTTGCATGCTGAAATTTCAAACAGTGCTTTATTATGCGCTGTGTAATGCTTCACCATATATTTCAAGTTGTCAAAATATGGCACTGAAATATCTTCCACAGATAATAGAAACCTGAAACAGTCTCCTTTTAGCTTCATAACAAGGTCTTTTCCTATTATTTTCCCTATTTTTATTCAGTAACTGTGGATTGCATAAAATTGTGCATAATCCAATCCAAGGATTGCTTTGAAAAAGTATAAGCTGCTCTGACATTGCACTTCATAAAAATAATTACTCCATTTCTGAGGAAAAACTTTCAGCAGAGTCTAGTGTAAGTTATAGTCTCCTAGTCATCAGCCTGCTGCTTCTGCATTTGCATTTTTTACACTAGTATCACACTGTAATTTTTATGAAAGATCAATTGTTTTCATTTTTCGGTGTTTAATTATTTCATTCTAGTCCACTTTAAAGACTAATCCACTTTAAAGATTTTTTTTAATTGATGTCTAGTTATTTATTAATGGCTTTAGCAAATAAAACAAAGGTGGTATGTGCAGCCATTTATTGTGGCTTATCAAAGCTGTTTCTCCCACAGAAACACACAAAAAAACACACCAAAAAAACATATTGAGTGCTTCATTTTCTGAATTAATAACTCTATATGTGATGCAGATTCCCATAACAAATAGGCTGAAGATTTCATTTGACAAAAGGAATCCATTTTTTACTGAAGGAAAGTGATGAAAAGACCATGTTACCAATCTTTGAGCAAGAATTTTTCAAGTGCTCTATGCTGAACAGACTTCTACCTCTGTGTTTTTATGTTGTCTTGTAAAAAGTAAGCTACAGTTTAGTAATCAAAAACTTTATATATGAAATTTCATGGATAAGCAATTTCAGTTTGCATGTTTATGCCTTTAGTTCTGTTCCTTGAATATTTACCTGTATTACTTGTAATGAGGTATAGAAGAGTGGGGTTTTTATTTTTTTCTTTTTTTTTAATTCATTAGAAATTAAATATTTTAAAGTGTTTTTTTCTTTTGTCCCTAGGCCTATGTGAGTGAAAAGCATGAAGCCAATAAGGTCATAGCATTTGAGAGAGCAGGTCTTATTTTTATTTTCAACTTCCATCCATACCAAAGTTATGTGGACTACAGAGTGGGTATTGAAACTCCAGGAAAATATCCTTTTCTTTACTGTTCTGTTGTGAGGAAAAGTTTTAGAAAGTGAAAGCTGATTTTATGTCCTTTTTTCCTAATACAAATTCAACCTGTAGTTAAAAGGTAAGAAATCACTGATTTGTCTCCAATATAATATTGCTTTAATTCTTTGTGTACACCAAAAAAAAAAAATCTATAAATTAGTGTTCTTCATAAGAGATAATTTTGTAGAAAGCAAAAGTGAAAAAATGCAATTTAAAGACTTGTGAAGCTGTTTTTTGGAATTCTGTTGAGTAATGAAAAAGCAAGTAACTCCCACTTCTTAAATACGCAGCAGAAAGCCACCAGGTGGGAGGATGCTGCATGGAGTCGCACAGGAAAGTGCGTTAGTGCAAACCTTCATCTGCGAGTTTGTATTTGTGCATTTGTACATTTGTACTTTAAAACTGGGTGCACTGAGAATATGCTTTTAGATCATCTGAGCAGTAAATGATGACTCAAGTAGTTGACTGGTTTTGCATTTGTGTCCAAATTCTTATGGGCTCCAAAAGTTAATGCTGATTTTCTGGGGGAGTTTTAGTTGCCCAAATTCAGTTTCTTTCAAGTCCTTTGACAAACACAACCTAGTGTGTCACTCTTGCTGTGTCAGTTTAAACTACTGCAGTTCCAGTTTTAGCCTCCTCGTTATTTATCAGCCATTCAGAGTAATTCCATGTTTCAGTTGCTTTTGTTCAATCATGGAATTTCCTGTCCTGAGGATCCCAGAGCTGCACACCGTACTCTGTGGGATGGGGAGCTCACCAGAGAAGAGTAAGGAGCTATTTAATATCTAGAGGAATTTCCTTATATATTTTCTTTAAATGTTTAAAATGGGTGTTTTAATGTGGACTAAGTTTTCTTCTGAACTCTTCTCTTGCAATTAGAACCGTGAATTTTATGTATAGTTTTTTAATGGAACCTCTTAACCCAAGACTTCAATAAAGGACGCTCTATTATTAGGACATATGGTAATGTGATATTAAATCCTCAGAACAATTTCTCCTCTTGAAAAGGTATTGTTTATGATCCCTTTGAAGCTTAGATATGAAGAGGAAGTACCTAAAAGCAAAAGTTTGTTGTTAGTCTGTTTGTTTCTTTTAATAAGTTAGTGGATTTTCAGTTTGATACCCTTTGCTGTTATAAGCCAGAAGAGACAAATTGTGATAATATATTGATCAAATGGTTTTTAATTAAACATATTTCTGAATTATATTGGGAATTGTGAGAAATGGGATGATCCTTTCAATACTTAGGTTTAAGTTTGTTTTGTGCATTGAGCTAGATGCATGAGTGCCCCTAACACATGTCATTGAATGTGCCTTTATTAAATGGATGGCTTTGGTCTATCCATATATTGTAGTGATATATATCTCTAAACTAATGTTATATACAGCTTCTCAGATATGTTGCCAGGTATGTTGAAAGGTACAGTTTCCTGCCTGGCCTGCATTTTTGTACGCATTCCTCTGTTCTGAACTCACTGAAAACATCGTTCTTTCAACTGTTCTGTATGTCGGCTGTTGGCATAACAAACCCAATTCTATTCTATATGAGAAGTTGTAGTCAGTAGACATTACAGTCCTGCTGGTCCCACCAGGTTTGGAAAGTCTTTCTTTGGGCATTCAGCTAGTCAGTGTCTGTATGAGAAGTCACAGTCAGTTTGTGGTCAGTTTTTCCTTCTTCCTTACACTTCAGTCTTCTCTCTTACTTGTTTTTCTTGACATTGGGTTGCTCTGTGCTACAATTCTTTTAAGTTGCTGTACCTTGGTGTGAAGTATTCAAGGAATGAGACCTTAATTTTATATGTGAGCATGGGAGTCTGTGAATGTTGAGCAGCATGAATTGCTGCTAGCTTATCTGTATTTTGACATTTCATCTGGTTGTATACTGCTCAAGCAGAAAAACAATGTCATGGGAAAGAGTGCTTTCTTTATTTTACATATTGCTATTTTTGCATAGCATGTATAAAAGCAGTGTAGTCCCAAAGTGATTGAATAGCAGAGTGGCATGAATTTAGGGTTCATAAGGACATTCAGGTGCTCATCTTTTCTCTCTGGTGAGCAGTGATAGGACCTGAGGGGATGGTATGAAGCTGTGTCAGGTTTAGGTTAGATATTAGTTAAAGTTCTTTACCCAGAGAGTGATGGGGCACTGGAACAGGCTCCCTAAGGCAGTTGGTCACAGCACCAAATGTGGCAGAGATCAGGAGTGTTTGGACAGAGCTTTTAGGCACATTTGATTCTTGGGGCTGTTCTGTTCTGGCCCAGGAGCTGGACTTGGATCCTAGTGGCTCTCTTCCAACTCAGGATGTTCTGTGATTTGAAGACGGAGTTGTCCATAAGCAAATAGCTAAACTTGACTTGAGGAATCACAAATATTGTCATCAAAATGCTGCAAAAATATACTTCTTTTTTTTTTTTTTTAATCCCTACATTAATTCAGGCTCTCTGACATTTACAACGTGCATCTAGAGCTTCTAATGAGCAAGTAGGGTCTTTTAAATGAGTCACTGGCATGGGATTGCTGAAGGCACAGATGCCCCTTTGAAGTGTGGTTGTGTAACTGTCCCTGCCTGGTAGAATTCTGGCAGGCTGAGACAAAGGACTTAATTTAGGATCAGTCAAATGCTAAATTCCATCAAGGTAGTTGATACTTAAGGTTAATAGGTGTGAATAAGAAGTACAGCATACTAATGTGGGAATGCCTCTTTGATCTGCATGGGAGAAGGAGGTTTGCAGCACTGTGAGTCTGTGTAAGTATCAGAGTGGCATATTCTATTGCCCAATTTCTGAGTCATTATGTGAAGGAAAAGGAAAAACATTTCTGTGCTTATGCTGGAATTTTACTTCATAAATTATGCTCTTTCAGAAGCCTTTTCATGAGAAAAGCATCTTGAACTAGCAAATTATTTCTGCCTGATTTGCTTAAGTTTGGAGGTAGATGAACAATCAACATCCAGGTCAGCTGTCTCTAGCTTTCTGATTGTAGATAAAACTTTGAATGTTAATGGAGAAACCATTAATGAGTTTCCAATTTTATGTTTTTAATACTGCCTAGGCCTTTCTGTGGGATAGTGTTTGGATTCCAAGGCCAGTTTGGAGTGAAAATTCAATATGGAAACCTTCTCTCCTCTATTCAAAAGGAATGTGGCTGAAAGGATGGAGAACAAACAGGAAGGGGCTTAAAGATTTCAGAAATTACTCCTTTTCCCTCCTTGAGATACCACACTTGATTTTGTTAAATAATTTTTCATGTGTTGGAAGTCTCATTAAAATGAAGCTATGTGTGTATATCCCCCCTTTTTTAACAAGGTTTGTTATCTTGGCTCAAAAGTAAATCTGCATTTTATGTTTATAATTACCAACCAATGTGAATTGACATATCTGTAAATTTGCATGTGGTTTAAACAAAAATCATATTTGGCAGAAGTAAAGAGGGACAGTATCCTCCTCCTTCTCAGTACTTGTGCATGTGTTGGGTGCTTAAATGGCTTCACCTGTCATTGAAATATCCTGAGCTGAATTTTACCATGCCAAGGTGTTTAACTTCATGTCAAAATTTAGCCAAATATTCTCCATATGCTTTTTGTCACTTTTAGGTTGAATCCTTATACTTCAAAATTAGCAGTGTGTGGAGAGGAGCAAACATGGTACCCTTCATCTTGGAATTAGTTATGCTAGTTTTTTCAGTGAAATTCAAGAATTATGAAAAGCAAAATGGCCTAACCACTTAAACTCTATCACCCCCACAACCACTGCTTGGTTTCTTTCATCAGCAGTAATTGTTGAAACAAAGTACAAATTATCCTATTTTATGATTTGCATTTACTTTGCAAATGTGTCACTAAACATGCCGAAGATTAAATTTAAAATTTGTGTTAAAATATGTATTTCAAAACATTATAAAACCATCATGATGGAGTAATTAATGTGGTAGATAATGTGACCCTTTTTTTTCCATTTTTAGCTCTATCTATACAAGAGTTCATTGCGTTTGCTGCTCTCTTCCCTTGTAGTGGGTGGGAAATTTAGCTGGAGCACCAAACAGGAATCAGGCTTTTTTGTCTTCCAGTGAGAATAAGGGTTAGTATATCCAACACTGCCACAGAAACAAAGCAGACCTCACTGCATAAAAAAATACTTCTATTATGTACTTAATTAAAATGCACATCTGTTTTTTAATGTTTTTGTGAAAGTAATCTTCAGAAAACTAGATGCCTGTAAAATTCTGAAATGTGAAAACTGACTTTTTTGTGAGGCTTTAAGTTGGAAGGTAAGTACACATGTTTACCAAACTAGTTATTTTTCCCAGACAAATACCTGATCTGTGAAGATGTTAAAATTCTTTTGTGACCCCATTATTCAGGATCTGGTTAACCGTATTTGCACAAAATCTGCTATATATGTGTGAGGGCATGGTGATATTCACTTCAGCAGTACTTTCTAGCAGTACAGACATAATTTTATGAATTGTTTTTAAAACAGCATAGCCATAACAGTGACATTTGCTGTAAATAGTTTTGAGGGAATCATTAAACATGTCAGGCCTTTCAACAACATTGATAACTTATTAAATTTAATGTGTAGTGCAGATCACCGAAGCAAGGTGTGAAATGCTTGACGGAGGCATTCTCCTGCCGTGTTAATAAAATATGTAGTGGAATAATAGCAGACATTGCTGCTGCTGAAAGGACACTGAAGAGAGTGACTGGATCTTGCAGTTTGTGGCTTTGCATGTTGTACATGACAGCATATGAATGGTAATTAGATCATGTTTATAAAATAAAGGAGGGGAGAGGTGTGTGTGTGTGGTGTGCGCATGAAAACCTCTGAGGACTAAAGCTGGCAAAGTATAATTTTCCAAACTTTTTTAAAAATTTTTTTAGGGAAGATAACAAACATGAAGGTTTTGCTGTAGAATGTTGTGATCTTTGGGCACCTGCCCTGTAGAGCTTATCAACTAACTTGGCAGTTTTGGACCATTCTCTCATTTTGCTGCAAACACTTGTGGGGAAGGGATTAGTTACCATTTGTGATTTCGGAGCTAATTGACATTTTTCCTCTTTTCTTTATATGCATTTACTTTTCTTCATTGCAATCTTCTAGACCCAAGTGACTCAGAGTAAATCTGTGGTTACTTCTGTGTCATGTCATGCTTCAGCCTTCCTTGTCACCAGAGATGTCAGACAGTAAGGCAGGTGGTTGGGGAATTTCCCACCTCATCTGATGGAGTTGTGGAAAGAGACTTGAAAACAATTCTGTTTATACCACAAGTCTTCAGGTTTTTTTAACAGGTTGAGCAAACACAGAAGACTAAGAACAGTTTAAGAACTGCTGACTTTTTTCAAAGAGTGTTGCTTCACTCATCCCTAATCCTATTAAATACAAGCTCTAGGAAAGTAAGATTCTTCACAGCTAAGAATAGAGGAAGCAGGTTGTGGATTATAGAGCATTGTTATTTCCCTCTCTCTTTTGGGTGGTGGGGAGTGGAGACTGCTTTTTGTTGTAACTTCAGGAGGGAAAAAGATGCTTTAATTATGTCCAGTTAAGAAAACGCAAGGTACTGCAATTTAAAAAAAAATAGAATATTTTATTTATGGTTGTCCCAAATAAGAAGAAATTTACTTTGAATGTTTATTTCCTTATTTTTAAATATTTATTTCCATTTATTTTCTTATTTTTTCTGACTTTATTGTTTCAACTTTATTTTGTCTTCTATTTTTTGCCAAATCTGTTTGAATCCTTTTAAGTATCTACAGGTATTCCAACTCATTGCTACACTTTGTTAAATAATTCACCCCATTTTAACAACTGCAGTCAGAATATTTGTCTGTTAAAAAGCCTTCTCTTACAATATATTCTTTCTTTTGCTCCTCCTTGCTGCAATAATTCCAGCTCCTTTCCAGAAGACTCTCAGAGGAGTTGTGGGCTTTTCTTCTGTAAAATTACATGCTTTTCTGATTGACACTTGATCAGATTCTGACAGACTGTAAAACATTGCTAAATACCGCTTGATTTTGATGGTGACATTTATGTAACTTCTTAAATGCAATTCAAATGCATTGTTTTGTTTAGTGGTACATTTTTAGTCTAGTTCAGCGCCTGAAGTGCTGTGCATATCTGCTGTAATGCTATAAACTTATCATTCATGGCAGATTGAAGAAGATTGCTTTAAGAGGAGTCACTGTGCTAAATTAAATTTTCAGGACAAAACTTCATATGAATTCTATATGTTCTATATGTTTTTCTACTTTTTTCTTAGATTTTGTTATGAATTTTGCTTTATGTTGAATATATCAGCATGCTTCCATTACTGCATAACTTCATTACTAATTCTTCTAGATTTTTTTGCTTTGATTTCTTTTCTGTTTGAGGGGTAATTGGCATAGTTCCTTAACAGTTGTCTTTAAGTATAAAATCCTTCTTGATTCTGATGCTGGAGAATATGGAGGGCATCAAAGGCTGGACCACAATACAGAGTACTTCTCTGAGGAATATCCTCACAATTATCGACCTAATTCAATTATGGTAAGTAAATTGTTTGGGAGTTTATTTGTTTTTAATTTTACTTTCATCTCTGCAAGTTTTGCAATTCTTTGGACAAATATGGAGTCTCTTCTTGTATTTGGGAGAAGGGGGTATTTTAAATTTATTTTCTGAAATTAACTTTTGTCTAAATACAGTATAGATAACATTATGATTTGATTATAACCAATAATATTAACTAATTTTTCTCTTTCAACTTTGCTTTTATATTTCCATGCACTTTTGCAGTGTCTGGCACACAGTGTTCCTTGCCAACATGCATGAAAACCTACTAATATGCTTTTGAGCTGCTATCCTTAATATTATAATTTGCTTTATTTTCACTTTATTTCAGGCAAGAGACTGCATCTTCGTGCTTGCTTTCTTTAAAGCTCTGCAGAAACTGAATCTTCCTTTTCTGTCTTAAAATCATGTGCTTAACTCTGCAAACAAGAGTTAGAGCCAATTGTGTGTTTGCCAACTGGCTTTTTCCTCCTCAGTTTACAGAAAAACTTTGCAAAATGGAACAGGATTTCTCTGTTCACATCAAGAATTTCAAGGATTTCCAGTCCAAAAGTGGTATGAATAGTGGATAAAGAGTTTCCCATAAATCACCTGAGATGAACTGGGAGACATATCCTTGCATACAATTTCTGTTAGCTGAGGTGGTCACTAATAAAACTCTACCTTTCTTAATTGCTCTTGAAATCAGACTCATCACAATTAGCAATTTTAAAATGTTATTTTCCCTGTTCTTTTTGTATGTATATGTGTTTATGTGCACATATTTCCCATTCTTTCTATATGCATTCACATGTGTGTATATGATCATAAGCACAAGAAAATAAGACTGGGAATTAAGAGTTCACTGAAAAAAATCTGAAATCACTCGTATGGCTCAGTAGATTTTTATACCCAAAGCATTTTCGCTGGTGAAGGGTGTGTTTCTCTATGCACAGGTACATTGGTACATGTGAACACCTGCAAATAAGTTACATTTGTAACCTTAAGAGCTTGCAAAAATGGATCATCTGCACTGATTTTTGTGGGCCACTCCCCTTCTGTGGCTGAACAGAACATGAATTTCTAGTGTCACATCTTAACTTTTCTCATGAAATCTAAGCTCCTGGGAATTATTGTCACTTCTAATCTCTGTCTCTCTTTCTTTCATTGTATCCAGAGTACTGGCATTTCTTTCATTTGCATGATTTAAAATATTTTCATAACATGAAAGAATTTCTGTGCTTTAGTTGTGCTTGGTGTAAAGGATCTTAGGAATGGGTTTTTTAAAGAATCTGCATGTGACAGTGCCTTCATAGCATGGGTAAGTATTTGCGCTAATTTGAAATGAAAGGTCTAAGGTTTCATTCCTGAAGGTTATGTAGCAAATTATTGCTTCCAGAGTTCTTGCTTCGTGTACCCAATTCAAATACATTGCCTGGGTGATTGGAGAGCTTCTTAATTATCTATCACTAACTTAACTTATGCAAGCCAATTAACTGTGATTTGGAATGTGCATTTCACATTTAGTCCATTAGATGGTGAGTGCAAGCCTTCCAAGCCAGAAACAAGCGTGGCAGAATGTGAAGCTGTGGTTTACTAGGCACATGTGGAAGATAAGGCATGTGGCAAACACAGCAGCAAATGCACTTTTGCACCATAAGCTGTGGCATGGCAATAGCGCCTCTTGGTCAGAGAGAAACCCAGGTAAACTTTCTCTTGTGTCCTTCTGCCGCCCAATTCACAGAGCAGCTCCAGCCAACCTCCCAGAGGATGCCACTTGCACCAAATAAAGGTAAAGTACCTTTACATGTGAAAGGACACCAAGTGAAAGTGATTGAGGAAAAACATCTGGAAAACCTAAATTCAGCAAATAGGTCTTCATGTAAGAACAAACAAAAGTTACAGTAAATGCCTCCAGCTGCTATTTTGCAGTAAAACAAAGATGTTTTATTTCAAATAGCGATTTATTTCCAGGTTATTCGGTAATTTGTCTGCTTAGGAGTTTCTTTAGTCTTAATTGCAGTTTCTAAGATCCAACTCAAAAGTCTTCCCACCAAATTTCTTTTCAAATAATGGATGACGCCACATCAATAAACTCATGAAACTTCTTGTTGTTTAAAAATGATTCCTGTTGTTTAATAATAATTCATAACGCACGAGACTTGAGTTTCTTTTTTCAAAATTTTAGTTTTTCCTCCACTACAAACTTTGAAGAAGTAATTTTTTAATGAGAGATGCACCTTCCTTAAAGTGTGTGGGTAAACATTGTCAGTAAAACATGCCCAGAGGGTTGACAAAATGAAATCACATGCAATAATTCTGCTTCTCAAGTCAGGCTTTAATAGCACACAAATGTGTTTCAAAAATAGAAGATGAAATGTGACATGATTCATTCTAAAAAATCACCTAATGAAAGAAATATTCAAGATGACATATCAAAATGAGAAGAAGGAAGATATGAAATTCCTGGAGCAAAGAATCCTGGAAGAAGATGAAGCTTTGTAATCATTGCTGAGCATTTCACTGTACAATTTTCAGGCTTGTTTAGTAAAGCTCTTAGAGGGCCAGAATTCAAAATCATCAGACACACCTTGAAAACTCCATAGAAAATGCACAGAAATGTCCTTTGTAATATGACTTATTTAAATAACTGTACTAATTTTTCCATTTCGCTGCTTTTTCTGTAATGGATTGTTAACAAATATATGAAATGTACATAACATTCCATGCAATCAAACTTTCTAATAACAAGCTGTGAACCATTTTGCCACTGTAAGAATAGACTCTTTTTACCACAGCTTCATTTCTGTTTGCAACTCCACTCTGATATTCTCATACTAGTCTTTTTGGAGGTATGTTTTATAAAAGGTCTGTGCTTTTTTGAATGCTTTTATAAACCTTTAGTCTTGCTTATGTCTCATCATCTCTTTGCAAGATGTAAATTAAGTGCTGCACACACATTTCAACCCCTGTCAGATTCATGTGCCCCTTCATGGATTAATTCATTTGCTGGTACCTAACTTGGCTTTTGTGGTTGGATGTGAAAGTTAGATTTGGGGCAGGGGGAAGAAAAAGTGTGATTTTTTTAATAGTGCATTACTCAAAATATCTTGTTCTTTTCTAAGGTGTCCAACTTGATTGAATTTTGCTGTAGGAAAGAACTAGCTATCAATAAGGGTTCTAGCAAATTTTTGTACTGTGCCAAAGTATGGATTTATATGAAATTGGAGGGGTTATACTTTCCTACTTCATGCACCAACAGAAACTGAGTAATAAGCAGGCTAAGTGGAATATTGCAGAGGATGTTGTGTCATTGGAAAAGTAGTCTATGATTTATTGTGAAATGTAATTGCTTAACTTATTTTGACTTTTATACATTTACTTTTTCTGTAGTTCATTCCAATTAGTTAAAAAATAAATAGATGTCAGAGTATTCCTTTCCCCCTGTCCCCAGTGCTGTCTTTTCTGTGTCTCTATTTTTGGCATTCAGTGATAAAACCCTTTCACATTAAATTAAAGTGAAATTATATAGTTTATTTAGGAATATCCTTATTACAGGCTTCAGTTTTTAACCTTGACCTTAATGTATATTATTCGGTGTCAAAGTGCAACTTCCTGCTTCCTTAAGTCTGTGGACAAATTAAAATACTCCCATAGTTGGAAATGATCTAAAAGCTTTTAGTGACCTTAGCTTTGAAAATACTCATTCAAATAACTTTCATTATAAGGATTTATGTATTGAATTTTAAGGGACTGATGTAATCTTCAACTGTTTTCTCTCCTGACATGCACAGATATACAGATTAAATGAAAGAATGTTCATAGTTAGAAACTTAACTGTTCAAACTAGGTGAATCAGTCAGAATTTAATGCCACAAAGGTCTTTTTGTTTTTTAACTCTTGATAATTAAGACTTCTAAAGTCATTTCTTCATCTTCATTGATTGTTTCACTTTTAAAACCACTAGCAAATGTAATGTGAAGTTACTCTGTTAGTAATTTTGTTTCATGCTATCTTTGTCTTCAGAGTACTTGTTTTTCAGGGGTTTTTGCTGTCTTTTTTTAAGTTCTTTTTCTCAACCTGAAAAAAAGAGTGCAGAAAATAATAGAGAAGAAATTGAGATACACCCTGTGCAGTATATGGACTTCTTTTGCATAAATGAAGCAAGACAATCTAAGAAATTATTTTCTGCATATTCATGCTGTATAGCTGTAAATTGAAAAACAAATTGGAAGGTAGAACTTCACATTATTTTAAGCACACCTACTTTGTTATGTGCAAAATCTACCAAAATGAAAACCAAAATGTGTGAGGTTTTGTATAATAAATTATAGTCTGAAAGGAAGAGCTATCATCTATTTTATTCTTTGATGGTTAATTATATTCTCAGAATAGTGTCCATGTGTGAAAATTAATGGTGATACAGGGACAGGAGATTGTCTAAAGTCCTCATTTTAATTAAAAGTTTGGGATAATGTTGGCACAGGCTCTTGTGACATTGCCTTCTGCATCTACCAGCTGCAATATGTGCTACTGAGTATTTTTCTGCAGCGCCTGATCTAGCTCTGAGTTCTAGTAATTCTCCCATCTGTTACAAAATGACCTTGAAATTATTTTTTGGGGCTTGGTGTTTACCAATCATGAAAGTCAGAGGAAGAGTAGTTCATTGCAGTTCCAGCCAATTCTTGTGCTTGCACCTGGTTGGTTTGCACTGAATGAGTCTGACAGATCTGAAAGTAACAGTTGTCATTTGTAGAACCTCCTGCTTGTGGGTTTTTAGATACATGTGGAGACTGCTGTGTATTTTAGTCCTCTCCTGAAATATGTAAGGTGATATTTCTGCCTATAGCTGCTGCTGTTAACAGGTGCTTCCTACATGTGGTATTCCTGTATTCTTCTTAGCTCTAAATCTCTTTTTTTCCCTAGAAGTGTTCTGGATATTCACAGGAAAAAAAAAAAGTATAAGGAATAAGAATTTGGCTGAAAACATCTTACATTCCTGGCTGGTAGTAATACCAGTTGGTTTTTTCCTGTTTGTGAGATAGCTCGCATGAATAGACTATGATCTTGTTGGATAGCTGGTGGGAAAGAGGTTGTTTATTAAAAAAAGAATACTTTTTTCTCTCTCTTTGCTAGAGATACTGTTTTAGTGCCAGAAGCCTTGATCTGTGTGGGCTTGCCTAGTTTCAGACAGTGTAGCTGCCTCATATGGACATGCAGTATAAAAAGGTCAAAAGTGCCAACAAAATCCCATTTTGTATTTGACTTACAGACAAGATTCCCGACCATCCTCTCTGTTAGCACATCTGCCGGTGAAGTAACAGCAGTTACTCCATTCCTGCCAAACTGAGGATAAAAAGACTTTCAGTGATATTTTATGACTAAACGTTTGAAAGTTAACTTTGTCAAAAACTGTCTTTGCAGCTGAGTCATCCTGTCTCAAACAGATTGGATGTTTTCCAATCTCCATTTTACACTCTTCTGTCGGGAAAGGCCTCATGAACCTTCCTGTGGGTGTTTTTAGATGTCTTCTTGGCTTCCTAAAATAGTGGAGTTGGTATAAACCTTAGAGGGCTCGAGGTTGTAAGTTAACAATTGGTACAGAGAGCAGAGGGACAATTCACTGAGATCCTGAGTAACCTTCTCTGACCTCAGAGCTCACCCTGCTTTCAGCAGGGAGTTGGGGTCTCCTGAGGCCCTTCCCAACATGGGTGAGCCTGGAGGGGGGGGGAAGTGGCTGGAAAGAGTGTTCAGGATGAGCAGAAAGCTTGGAACAGAAGAGAGACTCTGGGGGTGATTTGATTGATGACAGTCAAGATGTGGGTAAGCTATGAATGCATTCTCTTTAGTGTTCTGTTCTTTGGGTTTTCATTTCTGTCCGTGTTCATCAAGTGAGCCTTGGGAAATGGTGAAGGAAACATGAGTGGGATAAAACTTACGATCAGAAAAAGCAGGTTAAAAGAACAGAGATCAGTAGAACTGAAGCTGGTAATTGAAAGTGTATAATTCATCATCAGTATATGAAAGAATAAACTTCTGAGACACGTTTCCTAGGGTATGGGAAAAGTAAAAAAAATACCTATCTCTGGTAGTGGTTTTTGCTGATGAATACCTAGGTTTCCTGTAGTGGTTTTAATCAGGAAGGCTCTATGCACTTTTAGTATACTTGTATATTTATAGCTAGATATATATCTCAGGCTGTGTATTATATATATAAAATGAAGAAGAGAGGAAGGTGATTCTGCACATCTGCTGATAAGGGACAAAAAAAAAGGCAAGTCCCTTGACAAAGGGAAGACTCAAAACTTTGTTGGACAATGTGGACAATACTGGAGTATTCAGTGCCTTTTTTCGGCTCAGACTCCAAGGGCAAAGTCTGCTTTCAGACCCTTTCTGTGTGATGATGCACTACTGAAAATAAAGTGGCAGAGCCATAAGTTAAAGAGGCTGTGTATAAGTGGGATACACCCAGAGGCTTGGATGATTTCAGTGATGTGATTGCCAGGCTGGTGATTATTATCTGAGAAAAATCATAAGTGATCAGGGGAAATTTCTGACAGCTGAACTAAGGCTAAAAGGGAAGGCTGACGGTTCTGTAGGGCAATTCCTCCAGAAGAGAAGCACCACCTCTTGCAATCTGTGCCCAAGCAAGTGGGTTACATGAGATGGGTCAGTCAGAAAGCCAGCCTGTATTTAGCAAAGTCAGAGCATGCATAGTCAGCCTGATTGCTTTCTTGATGAAATGACTCAAGCTGTGTGCACAAGGTTGCTCCAGTCAGTTCAGTAAGACTTTCAGCCTTGTCTCCTGCAGCATTCCTGCCTGGGAGCTGAGGAACTACAGGAAAGATAAGGCTGTTAGGTGGGTTAAAATCTGGCTTGGCCAGTGCTGTTAGAGCAATCAGAGGCTCTGTGTGCAGCTCTTGACTGGTATCGAGGAGAGAGTCTTAGGAATTGTGAGTGAGCTGATCTCGTTTGGAGCCTGGAGCAGTGACCAGCATCATGGGACAGAGCACAGTTGTAGATGACACTGAATTAGAGTGAATCATTGATCAACTGAATGTTCAAGGTCCAGTCCAGACTCATCTAGAGCTAAGGATTATCCATACATTTATATATTTGAAAGTGTCTGGACTCATACTATTAAGTGCTTGCATTTCAGCTTGTCCTATCAGCAATGGATTCCTGACTTTTTTAATAGTGGCATTTAATGGCAGATGGAAGCATATGCTTGGAGCACAGTGGACTTGGTGCAATGGCTTGAAACAGTCACTACATTCAGGAAATACAGAAAATAAATTTAAGGGAAATATGTTATTACAAGAGTGGTAATTTAGATGAGAGGTGCTGAAAGAAAAGTAATAATACTGGAGTGAAAAGGCTGAGGAAGTTTTTTGGTTCAGGCTGTCAGAAGGAGGAATGGAGGTGAGACATCAGGGCTGAAAACCCTGCTGGGATCCTGGGCAGATAATCTTCCAGTTTTCACTTTATCTCAGGAAAGACAAGTGATCTTTCCAACCTCACTGGTCACATTTTTCTTCCTCAGTCCATCACACAATGTTCTGAGTTCCGTCTATTTAAACAATAAAGCCAGAGCACATAGAATGTAGTATTTCTGGAAATATTGTTGGGCTGGGGGAAAGGAATAATACCTATATATTTGTAGTGAGTAGTATCTAATAGTTGTGTTGTATTTTTCCTTTAAAAAATTTGTATGCCAGTGGAATGAAAAATTAATAATCTTATTTGTAATTAATCATATGTTTAATCAATAATTGATATTTTTGCATTGTTCATGCCTTAATTGTTGCTTTTTGTAGCAAATAGCCTCGGAGGTGGTTACATGACCAATGAAATAAGATTAGGAGCTAGAGGCATATGTGGCTTTTCTATGATTTAGCAAGGAGCCCACCAAGATAAACTCTATAAAGTGTGTTTAATTTCCCTAGGTAAGGAAAAAACAAGTGACTAAAGTAATAAGCTGGCAGATACAGCTCTTCATGGCAAATGGAAAACATACCTGTCATAAGTTTAAATACAATTGTCTGCATGAGTTCTGAAATTCTGCTTAAACCAGTTTTAAAATTCTGCTTGTCAATGAAGTGGTTGGAGTTGGATGATCCACACTGCTCTCAGATTCTCAGCAGATGTAAATTGACTTTAAAGGAATTGGGCTAATTTACTCCTCCTAGGATCTGACACATTATTGACCAGAATATAATTGAGAATTGCTGTGTTCTGCATTAGCATTAATTTTTTTTCCCCATAACTGAAGTAACATTTTACAAATTCTTTCTTAGAAAACTTATTTCTGTTTGTTCCTTTTCCCTTCTCACTTCATCATCCAAACCCAGAGCGCTGGATTTCTCAGTACACAACTTCAAAATCTCTCCTTTATCTATATGTTTTGAGGTAGTTGACTTCATTAAGTATTTCCTCTCCTGCACCGGTTTATAGAAGCTATTTATCACTGAAACCTTAGGGGAAATCATTATGTTCGCTGCCTTTCAAGAAGCATTGGACACTGCTCTGTCTGATTCAGTGAAGATCAGCTGTTCTTTTTCTTTTTTTCTCCTTTTCCTAAAGCTCTTTGCTTTATTGCTTTATTCTGTTCTGAAAACAATGAAAGCCTTTCATGCCATCAGGCTCTCGTTAGCAGATAACGCAGTTGAAATTGCAGAATATTAGACATTCCAGAGGGATGAAGGATAGTCTAAAAGAGGACATTGTCAGAATGAAACCAATAATCTTCAATCTTGTGTTACCTTTTATAATTGCATTTTTATTGACTTGTTCAGAAAACACATTCATAGACCTGACAATTGATGGAGTACCGTGTATCAAGGTAATTGGTAGATACCACATATCGGTCTTGTTTTCTGATTGTGACTCTGCTCAGCTTGGAAGGAATGTCATGTAAAATACATTGCCATGAGTTCTTTTGTGATCTATGAGGAGTCTTTTGATTATATGTGTTTGGATATTTTTGTGGTACTCGGGGGGAAAAAAAGGGAAGAAAAATGCAATCATTTAAATGTTTGATTCTGTCCACCTTTGAGAGGGAGTTGTATTGCTCAGCCACTGGCATTCCATAGGTGCCAGAAGTTTGAAGAATATGCTTCTGTGTCATATTTCTGGTATTTACCTGTATGAAATGACATCGCAGGCCTTGGGACAGCTTTAATTCACAGCAAAAGAGAGTTGCAAAACTTTGTCATTTATCACTGACCAGTCTGTTGACCTAGATGTTCTCAGGTTTTCGAAACTGGTCATTGTAAGTCATATGAGGCCCTCTCCTGGTAACGACCTAAAATATTTCACGATAGGCTGTTAAAAGAAAAATAGAAAAGAGATAGAAGAGAGATTGTAATCAGGCTGCCTTTAAAATTTTTATCTTGTTTAATTCCAGTGCTAGGGACTAAGGAGTCAATAATCATTCTTTAAATATGATATTTATACCCACAACAGTGCCTAAATGACAGATTTTTAACCGTTAAAATATGGGGTTTTTTCCACATGCTGTTTTTGGGAAGTTGTGTCCTTTAAGGTTTCTGGGTTTTTCAGCTGTTCTTGTTCTTGTCATGTTTTTCCTAGGTGTACATTCCAAGCAGAGTTGCTATTGTGCTTCACAACACGGACATCCCAAAGTGAAGTTCTCTGTAACCACCACCGAAGAAGCAAGTCACAAAGAAGTGCTGATACACTGTACTAGTACTAAGTATAACAAAACTTGCTCTAAGAAGGCTTTCTGAGGCTGAGTATAGTAATATTAGGTGTTTAAAATGTAAGATTAATATTCACATGTAATTGCAGAGCTCTTGACTTGCTAGACCCTCTTTTGAGGAAGCTTTACAAAGAGGCAGAAAGGAAAATGTTGGATTTGTAGTTCTAGTAGTACAAAATTACACTTAAGGTGTTGCAAAGCAGCAGGTATTCTCAATTAAATTTTTGTTTACAGAATTTTATCAGGAATGATAAGAGTGATCCTGCTCCAAAGTTTGTAATTTCTTATAATCCTCATTTTGATAGTGAATTCAAATATTCATTATGTGTTAATACTTCTTACTAAAAGTAAGTAGTTTGCTTAAATAAAACAGAAGTTTTTGGCTAAAAGGCAGCCTTAACGGTTTGTGGGACCTAATTTGAGGCTCCTCTTCTTCATTGAAGTCTAACATGGAATTAGATACGCTTTTCCAGATGGATGAGAAGGTCCTCTGAGAGTCTTTTACTTTGCCATGTTTTATTTAATTACAAATGCACAAAAATGCTGGGCAGTAAAACAAGCAGGCCAATTGAGTGGGGGCCTGCTGATGCTATTGTGTGTGCTGGTTATCTGCTCCCACCCAAATCGCTGAGTCTGAGCATCTCACTTGCTACAGATGGACAATAATGACACAACTATTTTACTTAGATCACTAAAATGTTCAGTGAGAAGCATGTTTTGGTCTTAATGCAACAGTACCACACTGGAAGAGGTACTTAAAGTGCAGTTCTTCACATATCTTCCTTGCATATTTTTCACTAACATCAGGACCTTGCAATACTGATTTCACTTCTTCCAGAAGCTGCCTTTCAGCTTGGCACATGATAATGTTCTTGCACTTTTATAACTTTTGAAACAGTGCTTCTTGTGAAGAAGCAGTCTCAAAATTCAGTGATAAAACTAAGGTGTTCTTTTTGATTAAAATTAAGTTAGTTAATTATTGGAGTGCTGCTAAGATAATTCAAGTGAGTTTATTCACAAGCTACAACTTTTTTGTAAAGAGTAAGATTTTGTATATTTGAAAATGTATTGCAGAGTATTCTGGAAAATTAATACCAAATTAATGAGACATGCTTTATTTTGTTCCATTTATTTAAAAACATATTTGAATTGGTTCTGAAATGAATGTCTTTTGTACCAATCTGAATTTTCTAACTTTTAAAGTAGCCAAAGAGGAAGATGTCCATGACCATTTCCAAGTCATAATTTTATCCAGTTTCCTTTGTGAACCATTGTGTAAACTACTGGATGGTTGGTGCCAACACTGACAATCTATTCAAGTTCTTGGAATGCTTACTTGTGGCTTACTTCTTAAGCAAAATAAGGTATGGAATAATGCAGCATGATGGAAAACAGTCTTTTGCAGAGTTCACACTGAAAGGGCTTTGTGAAGATCCCCAGTCTGATATGTTCTGTGTGGCAGAGAATGTTATATTGCAGTTGAGTACCATAGGATCATGCTTCATTTTCCTCTACACCAGTTTGATCATTGTTTGGTTGTGGGCTAATAAAAGCATTCCTGTTATGCTATGACTTTAAATAAAATATAATGAACTGTTTTAGCAACTGGAACTGATTATCTTTTTTTTTTTTTTCCCCCAGATTGTTTACTTTGTAGTGAAATAATGAGCAACTTCTAATACATGTTATATTTACACTGTATTGATCTAATATGTTTTATAGGGTGGTTTGTTTTTTGGGTTTTTTTTAATTTTATTTTACTGGCACAAGTTCCAGGTTTCAAAATGTAATGGCAAGTGTCTGTGTCAAACCTTTTTTTCAAGAGAAGGAATAAATGTATGATGTGAAGTATAAACTGTAAAATCACATGCAAAATAAACTCTGAGGAGGAGAAAAGAAATGCATATATGGTTTCATTCCTTGCATTGTAAAATGATTTTACAGCAGTCTTAACACTGAAAGACAGATTAGATTTTGCTCCATCCTAAAATCAGGGACTTGTCGTGGTCAGAAGCATTCATAATGAGATTGGTCGAATATCTGACCTGTGCATATTTTCTTTAATATAATGATAGATCAATAAAAGTGAATGACAAAATTTGCTTTCTGTGTTTACATTTGCAATGTAAACAAAGAAAGCATAATAATTAGGGCTTTTTGGAGCCCACCTCTGCATTTTAATGGTGAGTGTGCTACTGCCTGTCTTGCAAGACTGGGAAATTTTCCCTTTCAACACCCATGGAAAGCCAATTTCTTCCTCCTGCTCCTTGAATATTGTTGGATTATTAAAAGAAATTCAGCTTTCACCTTCCTTCTGGTGCCACTTTGCAACCAGGGCCCCTCCTTAGGGTCATGTACTGAGGTTATCACCATGTCTGGTTGAAGGCTGGCACATTCTGAGAAGCAGATGAGCTCCAGGGCTTTTTTGCTTGGCCACAGCTCAAGTCAGCACTCCTCAGCTCCATCAGCGAAGTAAAGGAAGTGGTCTGCGGTGTTGTATCCCAGGGCATGAAACTCTCCACAGGTATTCAGACACAGTGAAGGATAAACTCTCTAAAGATGAACTCTCAGTGTAAAGGACTGATAAGGATTTATATTTCAATGTTTGGAAATGCAGACTTCCCTGTCACCTGGGAATTCTTGCTATCCCTGGCCCCAGAAGTTGTCGCTCTATGGTTTCTCTAACACATCATGAAAACTCAAGCTCACCTTCGCCTGCCAATTATCTAAAGAGTCAGGCTGACCTTCCCTCTGTCTTGCACTGTGTGTGTGAAGGGTTCTTTGCACTTAATAATTCAAGTTACTCTCCAGAGCAGGTGGTTATTGAGATAACAGGCAGGCATCCACCATGGTGTGTTCTATGAGCAGTGAGTTTTTATTTCTGCACTGTTTTCTCCTCCTCCCACAACTAAAGCTTTACTGTCCTGAGGTTTTTTTTGAAGATGAAGAATGGAGTCATTATTTAAAACTGGTGAGTACTTCTGGAAAACAAACATAATTGGAACAAACTCTTCAAGCTTTCTGGGTTTTTTTTTTCCTATGAAATTTTTCTTGCTCATTCTATTCAATTTAGTAAAGACCTTTCTAACCATGTGCTCTGAAAGACAGGAATTGGTGCTGAAAATACTTTACCAAAGGGAGAGCAGCTGTGTGAACAGTAAGATACCAGATAAGCAATTGTGTGGTACTTGCAGATACTGCAAGGTGATATTTTTGTGTATTAATCTGTCAGTCACAATTCTGTTTTCAAATGATGTTTTAAGCATCTTGAAATAGTTTTAGCTTCCCCATTTCTTTCATGACTCCAGGTTCTTAACAACCTATTAATGGTTAAAGGAAGAACTTCCTGTCTGTTTGAGTCTCATTTCTCAGAGCTTAAAAGTAACTCTGTAGTTAAGTATTAAAGAGTGAAGATTAACTGAATGAACATCAGAAATTGTTTCCTTTACCTTAAATAAATGTGGACACTCTCTTTAGGATACATTGAGGTGTATGGTTTGCCTGTCTTCTTCATAATTTAATTTCCTAGGAATTTAAATATTCTGCATTTAAGTATTTTATCACTGACTGATGCTTCCAAATCAGGCATGTTGTCATTGTTGAGCTACTGCTACAGAGATGAAGCAGCGTTTTACATATTTTCATGTATCTTACCTTAGCTGGGATCCCAGTTTCAGAAGAACCAGCCTGTAAGTAGCATCTTTATAACAATTAATTGGAATTGCTTTGCTAAAGAAGACTCTGCACATGTGTGTGTTTTCACACCTCAGAGTTTATGGTGCAAGTGTTTTGAAAGGGTTGAGAATGTAATTTGCTGTGAGGGAGAGCTGTTTCTTATGCCAATCTTACTTTTTAATTCTGTTTGGTTTTCCAGATTATCTAGAGTTGGTTTCAAATTCTTGAGGAGAAAAGCAGCATCTTTCTGATGAGCATTTAAGCAAAAAAGGAAATCCAAAAGTTTTGGTCATGTTTCCCTTTATATAAAGAGAATTTTTTTTTTCTTCATGAAATGTTTCCTTTAAGTAGGCTGTTTCAGTTTTTGATTTATGTGAAAATAAACTGCAGTAATAGTTGACATATGACTGCTCTTCTTAAAAATAATTATATAAGTTGTTGGGTAAAAATAACTCCAGTTGAATATGTTAAAATTCTGCTTATGGAAAGGTAGAAACAAAAGCTAATGATGACTCATTAGATGAGACAAATTATATTTTTCATGCCTGTGAGTACAATATGTACCCTGTAAATATAAATATGCCTCGGCTATTCATGGTAAATTAAATCCTAAAGTACATTAGAACAAAACATAAGAACTGGTAGGTATTGAAGAAATGAGTCTGAGCTGAGCTGATGGTTTTACATATTTACAAAGCTATTTTGAACACAGAAAAAAATAATCTAAGTGTTTAATTGAGCTAGGTCTGAAAACTGTCTTAGAAAGTTAAGACAAAGACAATAATTTCTCAATATTAGGAGAGTATTAGAATTGATGCAGCACTAATCATCCATGCCATTTGACTCCACGTCAAATTAACTTCAAATTTTCCATACCATTAAAAGCTAGGAGCAAACTTTCTCAACTTGGTCGTTTCTTCTGACTGTGCCTCACAGATGACAATTTAAATGTATGGAATAAGGACAGTCTGTTATTGAATATTCAGTGCATTAAGTTCACATTATTCTGTCTTTGCTGGTGGTGTGAGGTTTATGACAGGACATATAGAGTGCATTTAGGAAGAGAGGTGTGTCTGCAGACACTGAAGAAACCAGGCTGCTAGTGCTGTAATGGGTGTGGTGGTTTAATGCCAGGCAGCAGCCAAGCCTGAGGCAGCACTTGCTCACTGCCCACCAGAGGGGTCAGGGAGAGAATCAGAAGGGTAAAAGCTGGAAAACTCATGGGTTGAGATATAGACAGCTTAATAGGAAAAGCAAAAGCTGTGCACACAAGCAGAACAAAATAAGGCATTCATTCCCTGCTTCCCGTGGTTGGGCAGGCGTTCAGCCATCTTCAGGAGATCAAGGCCCCATCACACATAACAGTGACTTGGGAAGACAAATGGCATCACTCCAAACATCCCCACCTTCCTTCTTCCCTCTATGTTACGCAGTGAGCAGGATGTCATGTGGTCTGGAATATCCCTTTGGACAGTTTGGGTCACCTCCCTGGCTGTGTCTCCTCCCAGCCTCCGAGGCACCCCCAGCCTCCCTGCCAACGTGGCAGTATGAGAAACAGAAAAAGGCTTGGCCCTTTGTAAGCCCTGCTCAGCAATAACAAAAACATCTCTATATTATCAACACTGTGTTCAGCACAAACCCAAAACACAGCCCCATACCAGTTAGTGAAGAAATCTAACTCTGCCCCAGCCAAAACCAGCACAGCAGGACTTGGGGGCAAGCACCCAGCTGTCCTGAGGTACTAGGTCTGGTGGGGCAGGTTCATGCTAAAATAGTGTTGATAAATCTGTGTTTAGGCTGTTGCTGAATGGTGCTTGGGCAGTGTGAAGGCCGCCTATTTCCTACCCTGTCCTCACTCACCCCTTGCTAGGGAGTGCCTGGACAGCTTCCTGCTCATGGAAAGTTGTGAATGAATTCCTGTTTCTGCTTTGCTTGCGCATGCACCTTTTGCTCTCCCTGTTGAAGTATTCTTGCCTTCCTTCTATTCCCTCACCATCTTGGAAGAGAGGGGACTAAGCAAGCACCCCACGAGGGTGTTTGGCTGTTTTCTGGGATCAACCCACCACCTCCAGCAAAAACTGAGTGAGCTGTCCACCTCAGAAGGAAATTGGCTGGCAGGAGGAAAGTAGGTTAAGTCACTTGAAGTAATTTGAAAGTCATTTCAAATAAAAGGGAGGACATATATCCCTAACTTTCCTTAGCTGCCTTTCACAAAACACTAAGTGTATATCTTCTGTTTACTTGGGTTGTATGTAGAGTGAGACAACTGGAGTAAGTTAATTATCCTTCTGTTCAGGTATGACCTGTATGGAGGAACAGTCTATATATTCAAACCATTTCATGCTGGAAGTTCTTGGACCTGTTCTTTTGCAGTAGAGGCATATGATTATCCCTGTTGAAAAGTGTAAAAATATTTTTCTACTTCAAAATGGAAGTACGTTCTAATGTAAAATCTTTCATAAAAGTTTATTCATTATTAAAGGGGAGGATGGGATAGAAGCTACTAGCAGAAGACTACCTCCTGGTTCAGTGAAGATATGGAAAATTAACTGAAACATTAAATGAAAACCTGACCTTTAAAATGCATGGAATTTTAACCATTACTTTTGCACAAAGCTCCTTTCAGCTGTTGACTGCTGCTTCTGGGTTTTTGTTGTTTTCTTTGTTCGTAGCAGTGGTTTTAGAGCAAAGGCAACACTCTGAGTCTTTCTGTGTTCTGCAACCTGTGTCACTGCTACTTATGAATGTTTGAGGCAATCCCATTTTCAGTCATCAGTCAGAAGTTGGTGTAACCTTGCTTTGGGAGTTTCTAGGATGGGGATAAGAGGGGAGACTGAAGATGTTTCCTGGTTTTGTTAAATACCACTTAAATTCCTGCCTTTACAATGCCACTAATAACTTTACATCTTTGATTGTGGCGTGTCTTTGTCAGAAAACAGCTAGCCCTATGCAGCACCAAAAAAAGCTTGTCTTTAGACTGGCATGAGAAAACAAATTATGCAAGCACATCATGTCCAAAACTGAAATGAATTTTTCTATCCAGGTTTGTTTATCTGAAGGGACCTAGTGTTGATCACTTCATCAAATGGAGCAGATGAGCTGTATGGCATAGAGACCAGGTTTTTGTCCAAAAAATCCTCTATTTTCCCAAGACAAAAAATATTCCAGTATTTGAAATACAGGGTTTTTTCATAAGAAATATTGGATTATGACAAGTGAGCATTTTCAT